GGTTACATTTCCTGAGAGTCCTGTTGTCACATTGCAACCGCCATTGCTCCTGTAGAGAACAGAATCGGGGATCGTGTATGGAGCGTCTCGAATAGGCTGTGATACCTCGCAATAAAGATCGACGCTGTACATGGTGGTGATCGCGGTCCAGGTACCCTGAATTGCGAGTTCGTCCTGCACTATCGATATCGAAGGTCTAAAAGGTGCAAGAGTAAAATTTCGTGCCATATACGGTGGTAAAGTCTCGTTCAGGGTAGCGATTCCATAGGTGGATTGTGAGTAACGGAGCGTTAAGTTGGTTGTTTGCTGATCAGCCGGCATGGAGGAAGTTGAAACCGCAAATGGTGCCTCGGATGAGCGCAAAATTGTTTCCACAGAAAAGATACCTGCTTGTACAGGGACTAAGCCCCATGTTACTAGAAGGATAGCGAAAGAGGCCCAGAACACAGGCCAATGTCTATCAAAGTTAGCTGCGCACAGAATCTAACCCGGTCAGGTTTCAGTGATCCTGCTTACCCATCTTTGGCTGCTTTAAATGGGACGAGCGGCAAGAAGTCGAATGGGTATTGTAACAGTAACGAGTCCTTCCCTAATGCTCCGGTATCTTTACTCAGTTGATAGTAAGGCTCCATACGTTTTGTCTCCAGGTCTATCCACGCCCAGTAGGTACTGAAAATGACAGCAACGACTGTGGGAAAGTACAAGTACATGAAGGCATGACCCAAAGGAAGGTCATTGATCCGAGGCGCGAATATGACACCACCATTCTGTTGGCTTTGGTGAAGGAAAAACTGTAGTATCGCGATTAGAGACCAGCATATCGCCGTAGTCAAAATCAGAACTGGTGCGCGCAGCGCTAGTGGTTTCCAAGTTTTGGTAGCTAGCACATGTCAACAATCGATGTACTACGAAGTGATAATGTTGTAACATACTTTGATGCTCTGCATCACGCGCAAAGATCGAGACGATAGTGTTTGATTTCTTAGGACCAACAGTATCCGGGAAGCTTGATTGCGCCACAGGCGCTAGGCTGGCATCCATCGCGAAGAAAAGAATACGCGACGAGCAAACGGAAAAGAAGCGCGACGCGAGAAATGCAAAGCAACGGAAGTAGATTTAGGCATTCTACACGCTGAGAGGATAGATACTTAACAGCATTATCGTGGAGCATAAGCGCCCCCAAAACTCAAGGCGCGAGACTGCGCCGCAAAGATGGCTACCATCCAATCATTTAGCGACCGCAAGCCCGATTAGGGCAAGAACCACAACCTCGGAACGCGACGATTGCGGGCCGGCGCTGGAACATCCAATGCGATATCCGAGATGTGCGGTAAGTGGATTCAGACTTTCCTGTAACAGTAAAAACGCAGGTACGGATAGCTATACTTGGGGCACGTCGCGGAGATCTACCGGCGTCGCAATCTTGGCTTTGCGACTAGCAATATTGAGACACCTGACCATTATGCAGCAGGAGCACAAGGTCATCACGTTTTGGAGGCTTTTCTGATGATCTACCGATAGGCGTTTGTGTGTTGTCAACCAGGATAATCCTCAGCGGAAAGCCCCAACTTCTCGCCTCCTGCAAAATTGTGAGCGGTGAAAAGCGACAGCAAGTAGTACTTACCACCATGTGCGGAAGTCAACAGTCGATACATCGATACCCAGGTCCCGTAGCGCGCTAGTGTCCAGATGGCAGTCGTAAGGCCTGATGGTGCCATCTTTTGGTTCTTCGTCAGGTTTGAAGGGTTCCATATTGTCGAGCGGCAACCCCATGATATCGGAGAATGTTTGGCAGATCTGCCATTTAGTCATGCGGTCTTCCGAACTGAAATGAAGGACTTTGGGTAGCTCGCGCTTCCTATAACAGGCCGTCAGCACTGTATCAGAGAAGCATCTCATCAATCGAAGACGCGGGTTTGGCTTACGCGTTCGCGGGATCAAGATACAGCTTCGCTATGTCGCGGCATACTCGGCCAACGTCTTGAGTGTTGGTAGGGTATCGAAACGCATAGTCGTCGACTTGAATTTTGGGTTGACCATGCTCTATCTGTTGGGCGTTCCACAATTGCGACATGAGGACATTGACTGCACTGTCTTTGGGCTCATCGCAGGATCCGTAGAGGACCGGTACTCGAAGAATGACGACTTTGTTCTTTGCGCCAGTTTTGGCAGCAGCCTCACGAACGGCCTGTTCGCCTTCCAGCTTGGTTTGGCCATACCTGATGGAGTGTCAGCTGTGATCAGACACCTCGCCCAGCATTATCCTGAGATAGCGTGATTCTTGGAGCAGACTCCGAAGACATGGATGAACGACCCAAAATCCGCGACGACTATAGTGTGATAAACCCAGACTTACGTATTAGGTGGGCTCGGCGTCGAATCGGTCTTGTAAGGAGCTTCTCCAGGTCTTCCTGCAAAGACGTAGTCTGTTGAGATGTATATGAGGAAAATTGCCCGAGAGATGGTGGCTTCAGCCAGCGCTCGACTCGCGTCCACGTTCAATTTCCTGGCCGCTTCTGGGTCTTTGGTGCAAGAGTCAGGGAAGCGGTTGGCAGCACAGTGGACGACGACTGTTGGCTTGACTTCATCAAGCACCCTGGAGATCTCATCCTGATCCAAAATGTCCAGCTTCACGACATCTGGAGCAGTGATGCGATGCAGACCAGTGCCGACAGACTTCCATCCATCTAACAAGAACTCTCGCTGCACTTGCCGGCCGAGCAGACCACTAGCTTCGCTCTGCGGTCAGCTAGCAGTAACACATACGTGGAGGCTATTTACCACCGGTGATCAATGCTGTCTGTGCCATACTGATACCACGCGCGATCAATGAGTTCTTGACAACCTTGAAAGTTTAGTTGCGGTGATGACGACAGCGTGGTGCATCTGTGGCAGCTCCCGTGGGGCAGCCCCAGGTCCGCGCATCATCACGTGTAGCGAGACCCTGAATCCCTGCAAGCTCGCCGCGACTGCTCGATTGTCGCGACGCAACAAGCAACCCACCGCTTACACGACCCATTCGCGCCCACCATGTCCACCATAGTCAAGGAAGCTTCCCAGAGCTCATACCCGTACGTCCGACAAGCCATGCCTATTGCATTAGCTAATTGAAGCAGCCCCGTCATTCCCAAAGACTTCAACGGCAACCAGCCAAAGACCATCCGCTTGTTCCCTCTAAGCAACTACACATTTGGCACCAAGGATGGCCAGCCCGAAGAAGATCCGTCCGTCCTTGCCCGGCTCAAGCGGTTAGAAGAGCACTACTCGGAGCATGGCATGCGACGGACATGCGAAGGCATCCTGGTCTGCCATGAGCACAACCACCCGCACATCCTTATGTTGCAGATCGCAAACGCCTTCTTCAAGCTGTATGTCTTCGCATCCTCCATCTTGTACCCTCACTGACGTCAGACAGACCTGGCGATTACCTCCGCGCCGAAGACGACGAGATTGAGGGCTTCAAGGCGAGGCTGAACGAGCGCCTCGCACCAGTGGGCACACAGTTCACAGGCGAAGGCGTAAATGACGAGTGGGTAGTTGGCGACACGCTGGCACAGTGGTGGCGGCCCAACTTCGAGACCTTCATGTACCCTTTCATCCCTGCGCATGTCACCAGGCCAAAGGAATGCAAGAAGCTGTACTTCATCCAGCTTCCCCGTAGCAGTATGTCGACTCGAGTCGCCTGTCTTCCACAATATGTACAATTGCTAATACTTCGCAGAGGTTCTCAGCGTTCCAAAGAACATGAAACTCCTCGCCGTTCCGTTGTTCGAGCTCTACGATAATACCGCGCGCTACGGACCACAACTTTCGGCGATCCCTCATCTGCTGTCCCGCTACAACTTCGAGTTCGTCGACGAGGATGGCAATGTCGCAGCGTGCACACCTGGTGTAGGCCCACCAGACGGATACCGACCTCAGACCAAGGTCCTGGCAGGCGGCGATGGGGACGATACTACGATGGAACAGAATGGGGAAGGTAGCGACATCACTCTTTCGTAGAGCGCTTTCGTCATCATTCCGCTCTCTGAGTTTTACCTTGCTAATTCATACCCGGTGTCAGGCGTTACGACAGCGTAGGCATCATGACTTTGGTGGTTTGGCTACGATGCCCAACTCTCGACGGGGATGCTCGATATCCCTTTTTTTCCTGGCCTGGTACATAGAATGAGCAGCGGTGCATCATGTCGAATTCCGACTATACTGTACGCGTTTTGGGTTGCCACGGAACTGCAAACGTTACGCCAGGATAGTGCATAGCTAGGAGCATGGCGCATGCGATGAAGCTCATATCTCGAGGCCGTATCTCATCACTAAATCGCGCCATGCAAGTATAAGCGGTCTGTTGGCCCCTAGGAATCAATGTATATGATCCAGCGAGTACGTCCTAGATAATGTTCTGTGCCAGGCTCACTGGTTCCGCGATAACCGGTACCGACGAACCACTCAAAGCCTACCTATTCCAAACTACGTCCATACCAAAATTTACCCTTAGATTGGAGCACTCGCGAAAGCAATGAATTCTGGTACTAGATGCCTGAGCCAAGGTACGAACGAAAAAAAAAACGGTTGTCTCTTATGAGAGCCTCACACATACGCAGCATACGATGAACCATTGTCAACTACGGGAAGCACATTATCCTATTGCTTGGGTCGACCAGATTCACGTCTTGAAGGTCATTGAATAACTCACCGGAATTCGCGACGCCATACACACGATTGGCTGGTGATCCTCGTGACCTGAGGCCACTTGCAAATCGCTTTCGTTCTCCTATGAGATTTCGGTAATGCTAATTCTGTCCATGTATAGGCATGGTTCTGCAACAGTGCGATAGAGAAATTTCGTTAGTTTACCAAAGGTCTAGCGATTTCTATTCGACTCGTCTTCATATAAAAGCCTTCACATCCCTCCTCTCATGTCCTTTTCCTCTCACCATATAGCAGTAACTTCCAGTCTCAACACAGGTCAATCAAGTCTTAGGAAGAACAACCCCACGCAAATGTACGAACAGGTTCCCCTTTACCTATTACAACTGGCTAATGGAAAATAGTTTCAAAACGATACCACTCTCGTACTACTTGCCTAACCCTTTTCCCTACTAATACTAACTAAGACCTCCAGGCCCTTACCAAAGATGCGTTTCCTCCTCTCCGTCGCCGCCGCCGTGGCCCTCTTGGCCACTTCCACGGCCGCTCACAGCGGCAAAGACAGGATCGTTTGGCACGAACGCCCGGTCAAGGAGCAGCATGGCTGCATAGTGACCTGCAAGAAGTCCTCCGATAAGCCATCGGAGTTCCTCAGGACACAGTGCGCTGTCTGCATGGACAGGATCAGGAACACCGTGTGCGCTGATTGCGCAGCAGCGTACCGGGATGGAGTCCCGTTCGACAAGTCTGTGGACCGCTGTTACCGATGCCGCCATGTATCGGACTATGACTCTTCCTCCGAGTTTGACGAGCCTTGGGACAAGGATGGCGGATTCTTTTGGCCCGGCCCCGAGGGCCCCGAGGACTGGAAGTTCCCACACTAGAGCAGTTTGAGATGCTTAGGGGGATTCATGAAGGGGATGGATGACTACCACGCGCAGTGGTTTGCGAACAGTGGATGAAGACTTTTCCACTGATGGGTATGGGTCACGGCTAGCACAGTACCGTAAAGCCAAATCAAGTTGTTTCGGTACAATAGTGAGCCTTATTGAGTGATTTACTTGTGAAGAAACGGAAGAACACCTGGAAGAAATCTGCTCCTCATCGCAACGACCACTTCTACAGCATCTTCCCAGAAGGGCACACCCCTCTTGATGCACTTGGGAGAGTAATGCGACCGATGCTCTTACACCTTAGGGCACGAGACGCTGAGCGACGCGAACAACTCACTAGTGCACATCTTGTTATACGGTGTCATACTGCTGCCTCTGCAATTACTACCACTATGAATCGTAGTCGTGCAATGCCTATAAAAATGAGACCACACGTCAGTTCACCTCTTTTGAAGCAGAATCTAAAAGACATACCCAATATCAGACTCGTACCACGCGAAGATCGATCCGACATTCTGATACGGAATGCATCTGTCCTCGCCGGGAAGTACGTAGATGTTCCAAGCAGGACCGTTGTTTTGATCGCAGTTGAGGTTGCTGAAGATCCAAATCTTGGCAAGGTTTTTGGGCAGGTTGCCGGATAGTGCGTCGTGGCCTAGCTCGGCTGTTCCTGCATCTAGCGCTGGCAGTGCTTCTGTAAGTTGTGCGGGTGCTGGATTGGCCGTAAATGTGGCTGCCAGGGCGCCGAGGCTGAAGAGGAGGGGAGAGAAGTGCATGGTGGCTCTCTTGCAATATGAGGACTCAAGTAACGATGTTCTGAGACTGCTTTGATAAGGGCTCCTGGTGAAAGTCGAGCCTGCGTATCTTATACGCGTAGCTTACCATGTCTCTGGTGCCAGCCCTAGCAGCCAAGGTCCTTCGAGACATGTGTGAGATGCTGGCAACGCTCATCGTGAGTATAGGGAACGTTTCAAGTCGATAGTCTTGCGATCGTGAAAGCCCTGCTGGTGCTGATCGATGTTATGACGCCTTTCTGCTTCCGTGCATCGTGAGCGCCACCTCCTACTACATTTCGTATAGCCCTCTTCCACATGGAACGCCAGCACTCTATCTAAAACTGATCGTAAACACATTTGGCCTCGCAGGCAATAGTTCTTGAGTGTGTATGTCTCACAGTGTCATTTCGTGGTCGTAGATGTCAAGTTCGCTAGCAGGCCTCGGAGTCCGAAGAACAGTGACAGTTAGCGGGGCTAGGGCGTCTAGTGACAACTAGGAAGTACGGTTTGCTGAGAGCGTACAATTGGTTCGGGTGTAATTGTATGCGGGTTGAGAAGCTGAGAAAAGCTGGCGTACACAGTTCGTGAGCGGTGTCAGGCAACTAACAGCCGGCATAGTGTCACCAAGATTAATAAGCTAGCCCAACTAGAATCCAAATTCCCATATTGACAGCACATGTGTCATCTGTAACGGGTGATACGTTCAGTACAATCTGGTTGCTTGCAGGATATTAGCCGAAAGATGCGATGAAGTTTAGATCCTTGGGGGAGGCTCAACTACCGGGATGTGCAAAGTCAGGCAAACTTGACGGGTAAATCACTCATCTGTACGAAGAATTTTTAACATGAGGATGATATTTTGATTGCTCATCCTCTGTACTCATAGTATACATTATCTTGTAATATACATTATATACTAACTATGTAGGGAAATGAAAGACTTATGGGTTAGGCTGATGTGATGGTGACGTATGAAAGCGAGTGGTGCGTAAAGAGCGTTGCGACATCCAGTATGTGGGTCTACCCGTGCCACGGTAAACTCATGGGAGTACGATCTGTACAGTCCGGGCGATGCTAGGAACTCCCTCCTTAGACATGACAAAGACGTAGTAGGCACCTGGGATGAGAATGCCACTGTCGTCGGGCAGTGTAGCAGTGTAACTGCATCCATCACCCCTGACGTTGGTCAAAGGCACGCGGCGCTGATCGGTGTTGACGGAGTGTGTGACGCTGCCGATGCGGACCAAGGCGAACTTGAGGCCTGGTGTAGACGTCTCGACTTGGATGGTCAGTTTGCCTCCAACCTTGACGCTCTCCGCGCTCAAAGAGCTGATGACTGGTCGGGTTGCGGGGGTACCGTCGTTGTTGAAGAGATATGGTGGGGAAAAGATCTGGCCATCGGCATGGTCGACGAGTTTGTTGCAGTTGGCGGAGCTGCGGCCAACTCCCTGCGCGACGTAGCAGAGACCACCGCCACCGGAGAAAACGCGTCCGTCGGCTAGCAGGATACTGACTGAGTGATAGTTGCGAGGGACAGCTTGTGGTGCTAGAGTCTTCCAAGATTTGGTGGCTGGGTCGAACAGTTCTGGGTAGAGAGCTCCATCCGTATCGGTGAAGACCAATGAGCGTTTTTGACCACCGCTTACGAGAACTTTTCCGTCAGGCAGAACGACCGCGTTGGAGAAACCGCGAGGGTAGGCCATGTCCGCGACTCGCTCAACTTTGGCAGGGGTGTTCGGCTCGCCGATTGTGGTGATGTGGGCCCGAGCGTTGGCGTCTGCGTTGGTGTAGTCAGGCGCGCCGCCAGCACTCAAGATCTTGCCAGCAGTGGCATCGTACATGACGAAGATTCCACACATCGCATCATCAATGGGGTCACGAATACCAGCAGCGACTTGCGATCCAGTTCCCTTGGTACCGTACCAGTTCATGGCCTTGCTTGGACCGGCCTGGAAGACGGAGGCGTTCTTCCAACCAAACAACCATGCATGGTTGTCTTCACGCCAGATGCCTTCATGGTCGGTCGTGAGCATAGCCTTCATCTTCGCGTTTGGCAGTGCCGTCCAGGCGTTGGTGGCAGGGTCGTACACTTCGCCGTCTTTACCCTTGCGTGGACCAGAGTATGCACCTCCGATGGTGAAAACGCGGTTGTCGGATGTCGTTGTAGATGATTGGTAGCCGCGAGCCATTTTCCTAAGTACCATCAGTATGAAGTTCATATCATTGAGCTAGAAAAAACTAACATGTCAGGTGCACGAGTGAATCCGTTTGATGCTGGATCATAAAGACTGGCCGCGGAAGCGTCAGATCCTCCTTGGATCAGAAGCTTTCCGTCCTGAAGACTGCTCATTGCGGGACAGAACATGTCGTGATGAGTGTTGCTCACGGTACGAGCTGAAACAGCTCCACTGAGAGAATGTTAGCGTGCGATGATGATACTGGACCACTATGACTTACGTGTTGAAGTTGTAGTCCGCAAATTGAGTGCGTCCACCAGCACCTCCGAAAGCATCAGCGCCCCAACTCGAGAATACGAGAAGACGTTCCGAGACAGGGTATTCCGGGACGACATATGCAGCAACCGGGATGACGGGCAGGCGGATAAGATCTGACCATTCACCATCCTTCGCAGGCGCAGGCGCTACATTGAGACGCATTACATCGAAGCGTTTGTCGGTTGACCAGATCAAAGTGTTACTGCGCGAGTCGGCTTTGATGTGGCAAGCCTTCTTGGCAGAGTCGTAGACAGCGGCGGTACATGTGGCCCAGTTGGCGCAAAGGTAGGCACAGGTATCAAATGTGTTCACGCCTTGCCATACCTTCTCGCTTGGTCCGCGGATGTCGGTACCAGGGCAGATGCTGTATTGTTTCTAGGGGTGCAATGTTAATGTCCGCGTATCTCAAGCTACTGGAGAGCAGACTTACTCTGTTTCTGTGATACGTCCATTCGCCAGCAGGGCAGCGAGCGATGTTCACTTGCTCTGCTTGAATGACCTGGAAGCGATCGTTGGCAACCCAATTCAGGCCGGTAAGATCCTTGAAGTGGCAATCTTTCGTCTTGGTATCAAACACTGCCTTGAAGCAGTCCATACTCTTGTCGCAGAGTTTTGCACATGCTGTAACCGAAGCAACGCGCTTGATCGATGTCGTAGGTCCTGTAAGGTCGGTACCAGGGCAAACTCGATATCTGATGCCTTCCGCTCCTGTAAAGATATCGTCGTTGCCAGGGCAAGCATTAAGACCGTTGGTGAATTGTAAAAGAGTGGCTGCCGAAAGCACGGCGAAAAGAGTGCGGACCTGCATCTTGGATGTGAAATCAGACAACTGGCCTGAGGCAGGAATCGGAGGACTGGCGTCAACTATCTATATACCCGTCCCAGCCACGATCCCATAACGGTGACCCGCATAGGAGTTTGCAAAAATGGATACCGTTGAAACGAACGAGGGGATTGTAGACCTAGCATCGAACAGGATAGCGTACTGCCAAGATGGGAACCGTTCGTGAGTAGCTACCCTGTATATGCTCACCTATATATCGTATTTTAGTATCTTCGATAGCGCTAATGGCACCAGATCCGGACCTAACAGGGGGTTCATGTCAACGGTAGCGGGCCGGGAGACCCAGGCAGGTTAGCGATGATGCCACTATCGGTATGCTCGGTGTTCCTGGAGTCATGCTGTTGACTGCGCCTCAAGCAAAAGATCGAATGGATCTCGGCTCCTGGGTCGTGATGTGGAGTGTCGCATTGTTATAATGAGTTGTTATGCTGATGCGATGACCCCAGTTCCCACATTTTCATGGGGACATGTGCCTTTTCCTCTGACAAAGTGCGATACCTGACAGTATTTCATACATCCTGAACGGCCTGCTGAAGGATTGCGGCGGTGGTTCTACACGCGCCAGCTGGCAATTATCGATTCCTTGTCAGGCTGCTTGAAACGCCAAGGCCAACGCTCCACCCCACCCCTGTGCCCATCAGGGAGACGTTATCTACAAAAAAAGAACTTCATGTGAATAACCACCGTCAAAACTCCGCCCCTGTTCCCAGCGCATGGGAATTGCAGGAACAGCTCTATCGGAGGTATCGTGGCGGATCCACACAATTTAAAGCCGGCTTAATAATGTACTCTAAATTTCAGTAACGCAAACCATTGTAGCTGCGATGCATGACGTTGAAAGGTCAAAAGTGACGACTGCCGGCACAACGGCCGGAGTGCAGAAGGCGATTGGGGTATCCTGGTGTGAATGCGGCTAGGCCAGCCGAGACGATGGCAGCGCTTGGACTGGACTTTTGACTCGGAACTCAAAGGGAGGCTCGGTGAATCTGTCGTGACAGCTGAGACACCCTGGTTCTCACTGCTCGAGTCAGTCTATTGATGCAAAGAGCAGCCCGTCTTGGCGATGGCTTCTATGGGCACGATCACGTGTCGTATGAGGTACTCATCGAACAAGAGGATCTATGCGTGAACACGGTAGGTTCACCAGCCTTGACCGGGCATTCCAGCCCAAGCCGGCATTGGCCAATCCCATGGATTGCCATTGTAGTTCATCGAAGCTTGTTCCATGGGGAAAGCTACACAGCCCAGATTCATGCCACTGCCACGGGTAACGCTCGATTGGGAGCCGAGACTGTCCAAACTAATGAGCTCGGACGTTTGTGGATCATCAAGACCTGGCGTCTGGAATTGCGACTCTGCCGCTAGTTTGTCCCTTAGGGCCATCTTTTGTCTGATTTGCGTCACGATAGCTGGTGGATCCGATTGTTCGGACGTTATTGCTTCACGTGCCGACCAAGCTTGTAGAACAAGCCCCCCAAAGAGTGTGAAGAAAGGGTTGTTGGGCTTGGTCTCCACCGGGCTGTCCTTTTTCTCGAAGTCCATCAACCGAGCGGCGCAGTTCTCGCTCATTGCCTGCCACCATCGATCTGCGAGTTGGCCTAGTGGGCGTATTTTCAACTCTTGGGCGAGATGAATATAGGCAGGGAACGGGAAGTGCATGTAGACAACCCAGCGGAAATTTGCTATGAGGGGTGAGGTCATGAGCAGCGTATCGCACTCAAGCATACGGTGCGCAAATCCAAGACCAACGTTGCGCTGCTCCTCACTTCCTTGCGCAAGTCCCTTCGAGTTGTTTGATAGGTATTGTGCAAATCCGATCTTTGCGAGTGACGCGCGCGCCATCCACATGGTTAGAAAGTGCAGCGGGTTTTGAGCATCGCAACGCGTAAGATACTTTTGCTCTATCGTTGACTCAAAAGCGGCAAGCTCGTCAAGCCCTGAATAGGAGGCGTCAAATGCCTTCTTGGAGAAGGACTTCAGGGCCGGATTGATGAAGTCCAAATGAGATGGGCTTTGACGAATGAACTCGCCAATCTGGCTACGGATGACTGGAAATAAGGCTTCGGAAACGACCTCAGACTCAACAGGAGGGGTCTTGGTCTCGACTCGTAAGTTGAAATCGTTGACGTTGAGCGGGGCTTTGCAATCCCATGTCGGGATTAACGTAGTGGACTTGCTCTCGGTCATTTCAGACATCCTGTTGTCAAAGAGTGAGAGAGACCACCATAGTCTTCTGCGCAATTCGGCCTCTAGCACGCAATGTCTGGAATTGGCAGATTCGGCATCAATACCCATTCGCTGAGCAATGCGAACAGCAGCCCCTAGCATCGAAGACAATGACCGTGGGTCTGTGTCTGGTTTGAGTGAGACCAGGTAGAGATGAACGGCTGTCAAGCATTCTCGATCGTTAGACTTCAAGAAGTTACAATTCAGCAGCGCCTCCCTTGCACCCAACTGGTAAGATCTGATCAGGTCCGGCTTAGGCCTACCAAACCATGATTGACACTGCTCCTGGTTGAGGCTGAAAATAGCCATGCAATAGATGGAGAACATTAGAGCCTCCAAATTTGGATCGATATGTGAGATGTCGCTAGCGGCATCGATGATGCGTGGCTGGAGGGTAGGCGTATGGGTGAGCTTCAATAATGGGTCGACATTCTCAAGGTACAGTTGCCAAAGCTTGAACACCTGGCTTTGTGGGGGATGGAGAACTGATAGGTCGACGGCCGTACTACGCGAGCAGAACAAGAGATCTTCGTTACGGTATAGTTTTTGCGCATAGAGGTTGTCCCAGGCTTGCACAATCTGCGCTTGCTGTAATGCGTGTTGCGAAGAGCCGCTGTTCTCGGAATCGTCATCGCTGCCGTCGTCATCAGCATCGTATGCTAATCGGTGTAAGGCAAGCCAAAAACTCCTAGTACAGTTAGTAGTGTCTTTTTCAAGTGCTACAGTTTCTCGTACTTGGGTTGGGTGTTGTCGGTATCTGATATGGTGGACGATTGAGCTCTGGAAGTCTCCTGACCACGACTGGCGTTACTTTCGTGGGGCCCTGTGGATAAGTTCGAAGATGCATGTAAAGGTTGGAAGGCAATGCCGTTCGTTTTCAAGAGGTCTTCGTAGTGGCGAAGACGCTCAAGCAGCTCCCGTTCGGCAAATCTGCGACGTCGTTGGCGTGGTTGCGTCGCTGCGGAAATGCATTGCACACCCGCCTTCTTGCAGTTTGAGCAAGGAAAAGCCCGGTCACATTTGACCTTTCTTTGCGCGCATAGCACGCACGAAAGCACGCGCTGGGACTTGCTTGCATGCGCTAATGGAGACAGTGCATCAGCACTGAGTTCAGGCATGGGTATATCAGACGACATGTCAAGGGAACGAGCTCTCTTCCGTGACAGCGGTATTGATCAGGTATGCGAGCGCGGAGTGGAAAAGGCCACCACAGAGCAGGTGGCGAGGCAGGCGCTAACCAGACGCGAGGCGCTCGCCTGGCTCTGCTTATCCCCGGATTGACTGCAACGAAAGAGCATTGTGGCTTCATGTGAGAAATATGGGTCCTTGCGACGAAGAGGGCGGTTCGCAGGAAAGCAGGCAGGCAGGCCGGCGCAGGAGGGTGCCCAGGCTCGATACCACCACCACGACGCGTGAGGCTTACGTAAACCGCACTTCCCGCTTCAGTCGCGTTCGTCAACCACAGCCACTCCTTTCTCTTGTTTCAGCAGTGACGGGATGGCATCCGTCCCAACATCTCCGCAATCTTCGCGTTTATTCACGCTTACTACCTCCGATGTCTGAACTTGAGGTTCGATCCGTAAGGGCGTGATGACGCGCACCGACGCCTGAGTAAGGTGCGGCCAGCCTCTCGGACAGATCTAATCCCCGAGCCCATCACGTGATCTCTCACACATCAAACACCGGGCAACTCTGGGCATTCAGGACATTGAATCGTCTCAACACATCAAATCGACAGTATGCGTTCGGAGAAACTCTGGTATTCCCGACCCGTCCTGGATCACTATTACTCTGCAACAGGTCGAAGTTCGCTTCCAATGTTTGCGTAGACCGCTTCCATGTCGGACATTTCTACTCCCCGAACGGGATTGTATTGCAAAACATCGTTCGGGACGTTGCACATACCGAATGTACATATAACAGCCAAGCTTCTCTCGACAGTGTTCTAGTGTATCCAATCTCAAGTTTCTCTTTGAACTCCACTGCGCTCATTCCGAAGTTTACGCCATGACTACACCAGCTCAAGTTGGGACTACAACAATGGCCAAACCCGCTAGTTTGCACGAAGAGCTTGAAAAGGATGCCTCACCTTCAGCCTCTGGAGGTCACGAGTACGCAGATTCCGAGGAGAACTATAAGCCCAAAACACTCAAGTTTTGGCTCGTCATCATCTCGATCTATCTGGCCTTCTTCCTTGTTGCTCTCGACCGCATGATCATTGGTACGTAAAATTCCTCCGTCTTTAGTCCTTACTGACACTGTTTAGCTACTGCTATACCGGCAATCACAAACACATACGGCACTATCGCGGATATAGGCTGGTATGGTAGTGGCTATATGCTCACGTGCGCAATCTTCAATCCACTCTTCGGCAAAATATACCAGCTCTACGATACTAAATGGACGTTTTTGGTGTCTGTCTTCCTGTTCGAAGTTGGCAGTGCACTGTGTGGGGCCGCACCTACTTCTGTTGTTCGTAAGTAATCCACCAAATCGCGAGATGATGCACTCGCTGACCCTCATTGAAGTCATCGTCGGTCGCGCAATCGCTGGTATCGGAGCAGCTGGACTTCAATGTGGTGCGGTCATGATCATTGTACCTCTCGTGCCATTGCGAAGGCGACCTATCTTCACTTCCTTTCTCGGTCTCGCATTTGGGGTGTCATCTGTATTGGGGCCCTTCGTTGGAGGCACATTTACTGACAATCCGTAAGTCTCCAGGCTTTTTTCATGAGTCACGGTTAACACGCGAATAGAACCTTGACCTGGAGATGGTGCTTCTACATAAACCTCCCCATCGGTGCCTTGACGTTCGCATGCATATTCTTCTTTCTGGATCTCCCTTCAACACCTAAAGAGAAGCTGTCCATTCTCGCTCAGCTCAAGCGCCTCGACCCAATAGGTCTTCTCTTCTTCGTACCATCCATGGTATGCCTTATCCTCGCTCTTCAGTGGGGAGGCACGACCGATCCCTGGTCGGCACCGAAAATCGTCGGCCTGCTCGTCACATTTGCAGTTACTTTCATCGCATTCCTGGTTGTGGAGTTTACGATGCCAGATACAGCCATGGCCCCGCCTCGGGTCATCTTGAACCGTTCGATGGGCGGTGCTATGCTATTCATCTTTCTCCTCGCCGGCGGCATGATGAACACTGTATACTACATCGCCATCTGGTTCCAGGCAGCCCAGGGCCAGTCTGCCATGCAGGCCGGCGTACGCACGATACCGTTGTGCACATCGCTTATTGTCGCCGGCATCATCACAGCAGTGATAACTCAGAAGATCGGATACTATGTCCCTGCTATGCTCCTTTCGGCGGTTGTCGCATCAATCGCCAGTGGCCTTCTTTCTACACTTACGCCGGAGTCGAGCGCTCGCGAATGGATTGGTTATCAAGTCTTCTACGGGTGCGGGCTTGGCTTTGGGGCTCAAACAGCGAACTTGGTGCCGCAGACTATCCTGCCACGCTCAGATGTGTCCCTAGGCATGGCGATGGGTAGGTTTCTCTGTATGAACTGCATGTCGAACATACGCTAACTTCGTGAACCTATAGTCTTCTTCCTAAATCAACAGGGTGGCGCTATCTTCCTTGCTGTCGGACAAAATCTTTTCTCGACTCAGCTCGTCAAGCAACTATCGGGTAACTCCAAACTCGATACTGAGCTCATCATCAACACCGGTGCAACAGACCTCCGAAAAGTGGTAGCGGCGAACGAGATCGATACGGTGGTATCGGCGTACAGCTACTCAATAACCCGGACGTTCCTGCTAGCAGCAGCACTCAGCGCTTGCACCATCATTGGAGCGTTGATGGTGGAATGGAGGAGCATCAAGGAACGTTCGGGAAAGCCAGCAAAACAAGCGTCAAAAGATGTAGAGAAAGAGGCTGCTTGAACTGAAACACCCTACATCTGGAATACATGGCAATCAAGCAATCGACGGCGTTTGGAATAGAGTAATTGTGACTAGAAGGGAGTCTCATAGCATCATAGGACATAGTACATAAGTCATCGACACAGATCGACGAACCATAGCCTTGCTTCTGACAACTAACTGGCCAAATTACTAACATCAGCGCTGCGCATCCTCTCCTTTGACACCAAGAGCTCTTTCGGAAACCATTTCGACAACTTGCCACCCGGTCTTCCCGGAGCTTCAGGTAAGTCCTCTTCTTCGCTACCAGCAATCATAATACCAAGAGCAGCACCCGAAAGCCAAGCCCATACCATGCCTTCTCCCGAGAAGCCCGCCGCAATCCACTCCCCACACGAGTCCTTGTCAGACGCCCCGCCTTTTTGTGCCTTGGTATCCCGCCCTGTTAGCTTTGCATCCAAGCGACCGACGAATGGCATGTAATCGCCAGTCAAACCAATGATGCCAGACCACATCTGCTTCAACTCAGCACCAGCACCCCATTTGGGATGAAACACTGCCGGAAAGACACCCGTGATGTGTGCGGCGGTCAATGGGTCGAGTTGAGGGCCATCGTCATACCGACCGACTTGATCGATACCTTGCTTTAGCGACCGCACGAAGCCGCCTCCAATCATCAGATCTCCTTTGGAACCACTGGTGGCTGGTGGACGTTGTGTGACGTAGTCAAAACCCCCGCCGTAGACTACACTCCATGAGTGCGTGCCGTCAGCATATGGGAATGTTTGTCCTGGTTGCTGCGCGGACATGTGGGCTCGTGCGCCCACGATCTTGCTGCGTAGCCCTGGGACAAGGTGGCTTGCGAAGCTGTTCGTAGCATGGACTATATGGCGAGCGAATATGGTTCCTCGGGCAGTTTGTACAGCGTATGGGAAGTCTTCAGGCGCCGTGTCTACGATGCTGATTGACTCTACGGGAGTGTTCGTCTCGATGGAGAGGGTATCATGAAAACCGTTGAGAAGATTATCCCAGATAGATGCAACGAACCGGTATGCCCAGATAGCGCCTGCTTCGTATGACAAAGCACCGACGACGCTGTTGTTGACACCGAATTTCTACATTCGTCAGCATCGGGAAGTTCCTTTGCTAGTCACCTCAGGGTGTCATCAAACCTTCTGTACTTGGTCACCCCTCCATACCGCAATCTCGACCTCAGGCAACCATTTCTTCAACTCCTCGACATCGGCGACAGCCTTGGAAAAACTTTCGTCATCCAGAAAAAAGTCCACAGTCTCGACCTTCCGAGCTTCGGCAGACTCAATGCCTTCGCTTTCACATAACTCTGTCAAATACTTGATGTGCGAAAGCTGGAAACGCGCCAGGGCAGCAGCACGATCTTTTGGCAACAGCTTGCTGAATCGAGAAAAGCTTTCGTACACTGAAGGTTTGATGTGGCCGCCATTTCGAGCGGTTGCACCGCTGCACAGCTGTCGAGCTTCGAGGACCACCACTTTCTCATCAGTGTGAATATTGCGACGGCGTCGCTCGTGTAACAATGATCGCGCGACAGCAGCGCCAGCTATTCCGGAACCGATGATGGCCACATCCACAGTTTCCGGCAGTTTGGACGAACTTGCGTCGCATAGTGCAGGGTGTGGAGGGTCGCTGAGCCAGTAAGTTTCGGATGGCTTGGGGACCGGAAGACCCGGGGGTTGTGATGCATGCTTCAGAGCTTGATCGAACTCGGTTGACAAAGCTCTTAAGAGAGATGCTGCTGCGATGAGAGCCTTGGATGTGTTTCGCAGAATTGAGAGAACTCCGCCCATCTTGACCTAGATCTATTGACTGAGACAGCTGATTGCAGATTTGCTTGTTGTACGAGGATGGAGAGTCCCCTGTTGTGCATTTCCTTGGCAAAGTGGATGCCTAACACGATGTACGAAGTAAAAATACACCTCGCCTCTGGCAAACAATCGTTTGGATGCTTGTAAATCTATCATTTCCGTATCGTAAATGCCTATAGTAACCTCCCTAAACGCCAACCAATCCATGCATACCCAATCGCGTCTCTCGTCAAGCGTGCTCTAGCCGACCCATCGCCTAGCACTCTTGAACATGCGTGACCACGGGCCAAGTTCGCCCCATCCTTCTACATCTCGTGGGATATAGCTTCCAACCTCCTTCAAAATAGTACGTTCGGGGTGCGGCATCATCGCCAATACCCGACCATCGGTACTCCTCACACCACTGATACCCATTGGACTGCCGTTCGGGTTGTATGGGTATGTCTCGGTTTGCTTCCCGTAGTTGTCGACGTAGCGGAACGACACAAGGTTTTCGTTGTAAAGCGCCTGTGGGCTCGAGACCGAGGAAGCAGATTTGGAGAAGTGAGCGCGTCCCTCGCCGTGCGCGGTGACGATGGGAAGTTTGGATCCAGCCATGCCGTGCAGGAAGACAGATGGCGGTGTGTTGGGTCCCTTGGGATCGAGCACCTCGACCATGCAGACACGCGCTTCGTATTGCTCAGACGCGTTACGCTCGAAGCTAGGCCATAGTTCCGCACCAGGGATCAACTCCTTCAACTTGCTCATGAACTGGCAACCATTGCAGACACCAAGGGCAAAAGTATCTGGGCGAGCGAAGAACGTCTGGAATTCCTTGCGTGTGTTGGGGTGCAAGAGGACAGACTTTGCCCACCCTTGGCCTGCGCCAAGCACGTCACCGTAGGAGAAACCACCGCAGGCTGCTATACCCACAAAGCCAGCGAGCGATACACGCGAAGAGATGATGTCGGTCATGTGTACATCGATGGCAGTGAAACCGGCCTGGTGGAAAGCAAATGCCATCTCGGCTTGGCCATTCACACCTTCCTCGCGAAGAATGGCTACGCGGGGCTTGGCGGTAAAAGGTGACTTAAGGTTGGACATGAAGGGCAGAATGTTTTCGGCAGGCTTGAAGTTGAGGTTGTACGACAGGCCTGGGTCTTTGTCGTCGAGGATGTTCTTGAACTCGGCGTCGGCGCAAGCAGGGTTGTCACGGAGCTTTTGCATGCGGTACGAGGTCTCTGCCCAGCGCTGCTGGAGCTTCTGGCGTGTGCTGCGGTAGACATTCTGGGTGCCGACGTAGAAGGAGATGTCTTGTTTTGACGCCTCAGGCACGCGACCGATCTTCTTGATCATACCTGGAGGTGGCCCGCAGGTAGCGAAGCAGCGGTTGAAGGCAACTTCGTCCTTCTTCCTGATCTGGAAGACAGCTCCGAGCTCTTCGTTGAATAGCGTTTCCAGAACATCTTTGGGTTCGCTTGACGCTGCGATGCCGTCGAGCATGACCTCAATACCACATCGTCCGGCAAAGGCCATCTCAACAAGGGTTGTGAAAAGACCACCGTCAGACCTGTCGTGGTATGCAAGCACGATATCCGACTCATGGAGTTGTTCGATCGCATCAAAGTAGTCCTTGATGATATCGGCGTCGTAAACATCGGGTGCTTCGTCGCCGATCTGCCCGAATGTTTGTGCCAGGGCAGAACCGCCCATGTGTTTCTTGCCCGCTGCTAGATCGACGAACATCAGGACGGTTTCACCGACATCCTCAACCCTCTCCAGGGCAGGTGTCCATGTTCGATCTGTGCGGTTGACAGGGGCAAATGCAGTGATGACAAGCGACATGGGTGCTGTGACTTCCTTGGCCTCGCCGTTGTCGGACCACTTCATCTTCATGCTCATCGAGTCCTTGCCGACGGGAATACATATGCCAAGCTTAGGGCAGAGATCCATGCCGATAGCTTCGACGGCCTCGTACAAGGCTGCACCCTCTCCGGGATGACTGCTTGCAGACATCCAGTTGGCCGAGAGTCGGACTCTCGATAGCCTATCGAAGAGGCTTGCTGCAGCAATGTTCATCAAAGACTCTGCGACTGCCATCCTGGCAGATGCGGCCGGCGAGATGAGCGCCAGGGTCGGCTTCTCGCCCATAGTCATAGCCTCGCCAGTCCTGACACCAGCCAGTAGCGATGTAGCTGTTACCGATACATCAGCTACTGGGACCTGCCATTTGCCAACCATCTGATCACGGACAGTAAGGCCACCGACAGTGCGGTCTCCAATGGTGATCAAGAAGGACTTTGAGCCTACGGCTGGTAGGGTGAGAACTCGGTCTACGGCTTCGGCGATCAAGCCATCCTTGGGTGTGTCGGGAATGTACATTGACAAGCTGCTGTCAAAGGCGGGGAGCCTCAACTTGCGGCTCTCGACAATGCGGGACATCTTTGGTGGCTTTCCGAAAAGTGTGGCCATTGGAAGATCGATGGGTGTAGGGTTCTCCTTGGAGTCCCTGTCGTTCAACACTAGACGCTGCTCCTTGGTAGCCTTGCCGACGACGGAGTAACCGCATCGCTCACGGTGGCAGATGCGCTTGAACAAGTCTAGTTGGTCAGGGCTGACTGCAAGCACATAACGCTCCTGGGCCTCGCAACACCATATTTGCAGTGGGCTCATGCTCTTGTCAACATTGTCGATCTCGCGTAGCTCGAAGATGGCGCCGAGACCAGAGTCGTGAACAAGCTCGGGCAGCGCGTTGGACAGACCGCCAGCTCCGACGTCGTGAATGAAGAGGATGGGGTTCTTGTCACCCATAGAGCGACACGCGTCGATGACTTCCTGCGCGCGCCTCTGCACCTCGGGGTTGCCTCGCTGCACACTAGCAAAGTCAAGGTCGACCTTTCCTTCGCCGGACTGGATACTGGAAGCTGCGCCGCCACCAAGACCGATAAGCATGGCAGGTCCACCGATAACGAGAAGGTGCGAGCCAGCGGGTACAACGTCAGGGTCCTTGAGCGCGTGCTGCGGCCTGACGGTGCCCACACCACCTGCCAGCATGATAGGCTTGTGGTAGCCCCGTAGCTCCGACTCCTTCTCGTTTGTGAAGACGCGCATGAGCATGGTGCGGAAGTAACCGGTGGTGCATGGGCGGCCGAACTCGTTGTTGAACTGGGCGCTGCCGATGGGGGCCTCGAGCATGATGTCCTGGCTGCTGGCGATGTGCGCAGGCTTTCCGACGTCCTTCAGCTCCCATGGGCGTTCGAAGCCCTCGATGTTCAGGTCGGAGACGGTGAAGCCCGCCAGTCCAGCCTTTGGCTTGGATCCACGTCCGACGGCTCCCTCGTCACGGATCTCGCCGCCAGAGCCCGTGGCGGCTCCGGGGAAGGGCGATACCGCAGTCGGGTGGTTGTGCGTCTCGACCTTGCAGAGGATGTGTACCGTCTCTTTGGTGCCGTGCCACTCGCCCGTCAGGTCGTTGGGCGCCCAGAAGCTCGCCTCCTCGCCGTTCAAGACAGCAGCATTGTCGCTGTACGCGCTGACGACGTGCTTGGGGTTCTTCTGGTGGGTGTTGCGGATCATGCCGAACAGCGACATGGGCTTGCGCATGCCGTCAATAGTGAACTCGGCGTTGAACTGCTTGTGGCGGCAGTGCTCCGAGTTGACCTGGGCGAACATGAACAGCTCAACGTCGACTGGGCCCCTCTTCAGTTCCTGTGTGTATGCCTCGACGAGGTACTCAATCTCCGACTTGTCCATGGCCAGGCCCAGCTCGCGGTTGGCGTGGTCGAGGGCGGCATGGGCGCTGTTGTACTCGTCGAACTTGATGGTCGTGGCCTGCGCAGGCTCGCCCTGGCCGAAGATGGCGTCGAGGTTCGGGGCGGTGCGGCTGATGGTCTGCGTCATGCGGTCGTAGAGATGGTCGCGGTTGGGGATCTCGTCGGCTTCGAGGGTGCGGTCGAAGGTGGCGGCGATGACCATGCCGCGCTCGATGCGCTTGACTGCGCCTTCGAGCGTGCAGGTGCGCGCGATCATGGAGGCGAGGGAGCTCCATGGCGATATCGTGCCGGCGCGCGGGCAGATGTAGAAGAGGACCGTCTTGTCGTCGCGAGGCTCGCCGCCGCGGTTGACAGCGTCGAGGAGGACCTGGGCGAGACGGTCGTCGCTGCTGGGGTATTCGCCGTAGTGCAGGATCTGCTGCAGCGTCTTCAACTCATCGTCGCCGAGTTGCTTGAGGGGATTGACAAAGTGCACCCACAGCGAGCGCACTTCGGTCGCGCCAATGGCCTGGGCGAGGCGCTGCAGGCGGAAGTCGGAGAAGGCGGACGAGCCCGGCAGGATGAGATAGGGGTCCTCGTTAGACGCCATCGTGTGTGACGCCGAGTCGCTTTCTGGGAATCGTAATCGCGGGTGTCCGAAGACCAGAGCGATCGCGGGCGCGTTCACATGGCGGGGGAGGGGGAACTTTCAGAAAAAAAATCGGCGCGCGTCACTGCCGCCGAATCCTTGCTCTTTTCCGCGCCGCGACTTTCATCCTACTTTAGGCCAACGTCTAAACTCCGACTCCTATGCAACGAAGCCATTGCGAGTCGCGATCAAGGCCCCAAGGTTTCATATTTGTGACCTGGTGCAAAGGCAAATTTGCGTCCAAGCTACCTAGGTAACATGTGCTTAGCCCAAGGCCATCTTTGCCTCCAGCATCTGCAGACCCAACGCGGCCATTGAAATCTTCTACTTAACCTAATGCTGCGAGACTATGATTCCTAAATTGCGCTGCATGTTCTTCGCTCCGGGTGCGCTACCGGGAGATACTACGTTTGGGGGCGATTGCACCAGTTTTCGATATAGCCCGATCTCGCAACGATATGCTATCCTATCAAGAACCGCGCGTCTCAAGGTTTGAGTATGTTAAACTTGCTCCTCTGTCAAATATGCCATTGCTATGCCAGTTTATATCTGCCACAGTCTGAATGTCTCAGAAACTATCCAAATGCACGCCGACCCCCTTCTCCGCGGCCAACTCCATCAAAGCCTTGCCAATCGCGATATCCATGATACCCACGCCCACACTCTTGTACACAACAAACCCCTCTTCAAGCCACTTCTGCGCCCCGTTATCGCTCCTCAGCCCATCCACCTTCCCCACCTCAAGCATCTGCTCCGGTTTCAGTCCCGCTGCTACTAGCTCACCAGCCTCGTCCATGCATCCCTTGATACTATCAACAGTGATTAACCCTTGGTAAACCTGAGAGGCAAAAAGACCGGAAGGTTTGCTGATATCCTGCAGTAGGTGCGGATCAATCTCTTGCATATCCAAACGATAAGACCCGATTGCAGCGATATACCGAGACTTGGCAAGGCCAGCGTCTGACGTGAGGTACCTACCCGGGAACAAGGGGGATGTACTGGGTGTTGTGCAGAACATGACATCCGCTTCTGCGACTAAGCTCTCCAGCGCGTCTTTCTTCTCATCGAAAAGCTCCATCTTGATGTGTTCGCCAACTTTCGATTTAGCAAGCGCGTCAAGTAGTTCCTTCGCTCTTGCACTCGACCGATTGACAATAGTAATCTTCCGGATATCATCTCCTTTCAGGAGGATAGCAAGGCGGATATGCCACTCAGCCTGCTTACCAGCTCCAAACACCACTATGTTCTCAGTCTTCTTCCGGTACCGATACAGCAACATACTCCCCAGCGCTGTTCTGAACGCCGTCAACTCTGCCGCATTCAACACGCCTACTGCCTTTCCCAACCTAAAGATGAGTGTACGAAGTCAGTATTTGTCTCACATACAGTTCGTACATGGATATTACTAACTCATCGCAAATCGTAAGTACACTTCGCAGTGCAGGCTTGGACTTCTCTCCAGGTGGAGGCGCTTGAGATGGTGCGACACCGACTATCTTCACACCGATAGATGATGGTGTTGTTGCTGGCATGAAGAGGCTGACCTGACCGTTTGGTCGCGCGACGTGCGCGCGGTGCGGCTGATAGGGAACTTCATCGTTACACGAGTATTCTGTGAGGGCTTGATTGAGTGCTGATGCGAGGTTCTGAACGTCGGATGGAGAAATGTTGTGGAGGAGGGTTTGGATGTTGGCGTCGGTGAGAACGGTGAAAGTCATGGTGGTTTAAGAAAGGGCCGAATTCAGCGGGATGGTCTGGTTTGACCTGTTGAGGTCGTGCAATCGATGTAAATACTTTTAAGTCAATGGTTTCTGACTTTTTGGCTCTTCTGGTACGTCCAAACTTCTCGTTCGTCAATATTTGCTCGTCCGGTCACGGCGCCATGATGTTGTTGCTTGATTTGACATGGATGTGCGGAGATGATTGTATGCGGGCAAGCGGGCAACCAGCCACGGGTAGCCTCGGTCTTACATATATACGGGTCCCTGCCCACCATCGCCGACACCGTCTCAGCAGCATCTCAGCATCTTACGATATAAGCTATGTTACTGACAGGTAGCCAAAATTATGTATCGCATTCCGTTCTGGCTCTTATCGTGGTTGTTAGGACATGTGACAGGAAGCGAAAAGGCCTGGGATCTTTGCCATGCGCTGCATTATCATAACAGACCTGTAGACGCCTTGATTGTTGGGTTTGCCTTGGCACGCAATTTCCCAGCAGCGATAATGTTTTGGAGATTCCGTATAGAAGACTGGATAATATGCGCCATACAAAATCGCCTGAAGGTGGAAGCGAGGACTATCTAGGTATAATGCAGACGATGTGAACCCATGCCTGCGGTGATTGTGTCTTTGTAACAGGTAACAGCATACATTCATGCTATGCCATATATTCAGTATGCAGAACTCATCTTCACGACTTTACAAATGCTGTACTCAAACTGTAAGCCAGTACCCTTCATCCTCGTCCGGATCTTCCGCAACGATGTCTTCCATTCGAGAGCGAAATTCAACTGCAAGGCATCGAGCAGGATCTCGGTGTTCTAGTACAGGTCGTATAGGAGTTTCTTCGGGCTCTGCTTCCGCCGGGGTGAGGCTGATGGAGGGAATACCTGTTGCAGGTGGTACATCTGGGACGCCAATCATGTGAAAAGGTGGATCGTTGATGGGACTGGCCTTTGCATCAAGACTCGCCCCTGAAACTGTGGAGTCGGTACGAGATCGTTCTGGCTGTTCTGAAAGATACGTACTAAGCCTTCTTGGAAGCTTAACGACCAGTAGTGATGTTCTCACAAGTTCCAGAAGATTCCCTATTGCTGTACTCCCGGCCTGACATCTGGGGTCTTCTGCCAATCTATCCATCCAGAGCGTGACAACTGTATGCACATGAGCTACCTTCCTTCCGTTCTCGACGCTTATCTCATAAAAGTTTCTTTCCTCAAGGTCACGGCGAAATCGAGTAAGTCCCGCATACCCTTCCAACAGCCAGATGGTGAATTCGAGAGTGATGCATCCCATCGCCCAGACATCGTATAGTCGGGAGCGGCGTTTTGTTGACTGACCCAGGTATCTAGCTCTGACGCCCGTTTCGACCTCAGGGGCCTGATAGACACTGGTGCCATATTTTGCTGTCGTTTTACTGGGACGCAACTCCGTGACCTGTCCATGCTCTTTCGCTTCGCCCCAGTTGTCAATCTTGAGAGTGCCAATTGTGCGACCATTACTAAAACACAAAATGTTTTCCGGCTTGATGTCTCCATGCCGGTATGATGCGCCGGTCATGTCGAGGTTGTGCGCAGCCTCGAGTGCTCTGGCAAGTCCCAGTATCTGGAACATAGCATCTTTGACTAATGCTGCCGTCAATATTGGGGAATGTTCCCTCTTCCACATACTGCGGAGGTTTCCGCCATCAGCCCACTCAAATACTAGGTAGTGGTCTGGGCCGCCGTGCTCTCTATGGCGACGGAAAGCTGTAACGAAACGAACGATGTGGTCATGGTTCAACTCATTCAAGGTGCGGAGGGCTTTGACCTCTCTTTCCCAATGTTCTACAATTTCCTGCGCGTCATAGGAAGGCTGAATCTCCTTGACGGCGATTGGACTATAGTCCAAAAGAGCCTGCCATATCTCAGCGGTCGTCACGCATGAATGTTTGGTAAAACAACCCCAAATACTCACCGGGTGTAGATGTTTGTTATGTATAGTGTATCTCGAGACTACTGCGAATGATCCTCTGTCCGCATCCCATTCTTTGGAAATGAACGGTAAGATGTGTTCCTCATGGAGGTCGTGGTTATAACCAGCCGTCGAGAAGATCGGTGCGAGAAAAGTCCATTGGCTCTCCTGGAAATCTGTAAACCAAGACTGTTTCTTCCATGCTGGTTGAATTCTGAACGGTAAGTCACGATCGCCCATATCCTTCTTTCTCCACCAGTCCAGTGCGGAGCGCATGCTGTGTGGCCGGATGTAGATCAAGATTGCGAAGATTTTCTTCGCGCGAAGTTTTATGTAATCCAATAGTTTGTCCTCGTCTGGAGAAGGAACTTGGATCAAAAGGCGCTCTTCTGTAACGATATCGTCGATGACACCTTCGGGCAGAAAGCGATGGGGCGTTTTCTCGAATCCACTCAAGATCAAATTGTCTACAATGAGCATCCTTAGACCGCTTGATATTTCTTCCACGTCGCTGCCCTTGTTTTCGTGTCTTTCTACAAAACCTTTCAATTTCGGGTCTGATGATAGGCTGTAGTCCATTGGTGTGCTTTGTGTACGGATATGATCACATACACGACTCCAGTCAGAAATCGTGGGAGAAGGTACCTCGATCTCATTGGAGTGTACCATGTCTTCAGAGAGCTCTATGTTGTTAGAGTCTTGTGAGTCCTGCGTATTGTCCTCTTCTTCAGTGAACTCAATACGATCGTTGAGTGAATCTTTGATCTGGGCACTGTCAGATCCGAATCTGCTTGAAACACCAGCGGCTGATCCATAATCCAGTGGTCCGATAGGGTCGTAGTCCATGAGCGACTTCTGGGCGAGTGATATCAGATGCTTTGCGATGTGTTCTTCGCGTTCCCTATTTACCATGTTGTCAAGATCGACAGCGCAAGGGAATGGACAAGGACCAGCTAAGGTATCTTCGTGTAGCACTTCGAAGCACTCTTCCGCGATCAGATCGAGTTCGCGCTCACCAATACCAGCTTCATGCTCGGAACCGATATGAACCTTGAAGTCCTCCAGCTGCAGAAAATGAAGAGGAGATTCATGATCCGGATCCATGCAAATCCATCCTTTACGCGCATGTGCGTTTCTCATGTGAGATGACCACGCATTCATAGAGGTATACAAAAAGCTTGGTGAGTCGCAGTTCTCTAGTGTACATACGAAGGGCATTAGGTCACGCACTATGTGTAGTCTGAATGAGAGTTAGCGAAGAGCCGCAGCGGTAGATACTTCTGCGAACTCAACTTACGGCCACCCAGATTCCGTAAAATCGGTTGCAGGGCATATTGTGAAGCAATATGGACATTCATGTTCCTTCTCGCCGGGCAATATCTTCGGACGGACGGGAAGCTCTTCTAGTTCGAATGTTATGCTCGGCAGCCCAGACTCTGGCTCACGATTGGGCACCTGAGACGCGTTCGAAACAAAAGTGGTCGCTTCACTTGCGGGGGCTCCGGTTCTTTTTCTTGGCAACAAAGGCCTCGATGTTTTCGACACTGATCTCGTCGTTCCAGCCACTGCACTTCTAACACCGAAACCTGATCCAGCCCTGGAGCTTGCTCGAGGTGTCTGTGCCAAGGTATCTGTTTCCGGTCCCACGCTAGCCTGTCTATTCTCCCGACGTGATCTTTGGAAGGCAAAGCTCTGCTGTCTTATACAAATTGTATCCAATAGTCGACCATGAAGATTGTTATCCATTTGGCCTAGAGCAACCCGTAGGTATTGATCGGCGGCTTCACGAAACTTCTCAGTAAGATTGATACCAGTTTCCTCGTCGTACTCAGCATATTCGGTAGCTTTAGCCAGCCGCCTTAGAGCGCCCGAGCGTCTTATAGCCTTGGAATACCGAAATAGTTGATCCAGCACGAGATCAGGATCGTTGTTGGCGTCGCCTTCGGAAGCCGCTTGGAGGCCCATCTTCACTTGGGCCTGGTCAGCCTCAGCTCAATAGTAACGAATACAGCTCTGACACACCTGATATTGCATGCGCCAAATCTTCCATCAAGTCGAGCACAACAGAATGAGTTACTTCTGATTTGCGTAGCCGCCAATCAAGTGAGTCGCGCCCGCGGGACATCACTGAATAATGGTCCGCCCATAGTGTGAATCGGAATAGACTGTTTTCCAGATCAGCTAGTTCCTGGCCCTCCGTTATCTTTGCAGAGTCATTTTCAGCAGAGGCTGTTGACTGCCATCCTTCGAAGAGGTGAGAGCACTGGAGGGCACTTTGGTATATTGTATTCATTGTGCGGCGTGCACTTCGTTCTGGTCACGGCAATAATCTACCATCGAGATGGTCATACCATCGATGTGATCAAGGTTTTCTGAAAGTGTCGTCTCAAGTGGCAAGCATTACAGGTATAGATCAGCTGCGGGGTAGTAGTGGGGGCGGGCGCTTACAGGCCAAGGAAGTTGGAACGCAGATGACGGCACGTGTACGGCTGACTTATTTATGGAAGCACGCATCCAGAGGAACCATTCTTTGTACGCAATTATACGGCTCGACTACAATCGGAGAACATGGCTGCCATAGCGTGTGGCAGCGAAAGCCAATACCCGGTTCCTCACATCATCGTTGCTAACGTGGCTCATTTCATCGCTAGAGCCTTTAAGAAGAAGCGTGAGACGCTCGAGATTTCTCATCAGCCCGTCACAGAGGACAGCTCGGATTTCAACATTGAGTCGCAACGGAAATGTATGCGAGATCTCAAGCATCAATTCAGCCACCTGTTTTTGTGTCGCGATCGGATTGCAATGTGCTTATCTGGCGCTACGAACGCGGATCTCCTCACCCAACTAAACGACGTAGCTTCCAAGGTCGAGAACGTCATCGCAGAAGACTATGTGCGCATCTTCGCTACATCTCAGGACGCCATCCCAGCATCACATCCGAATTTACACATGCTTTCTCTCATCACACAAAGACCAACATCTGGCTTCGAAATCGATCGCTTCATTCGCAGCGATATTGCAGATTGTCTCAAACAGCTACTCTATGCGATGCAAGAATTGTCAGACTTGATCGAAGACGCCATTCCATTGATATCGCACATGGAACACGATCAACCTAATTTCGCAAAATCTCACCAATGGACGCCTTTCGACAACCGAAGAGCTTCTCCGTGTGTTCAGCCTTTAGCCGAGCGCTTGCACAGGTCCCTACATCACGATTGGCCATGTCATAGAGAAGAACACAAAGAAGGACATAATGGCACACTTGGGGAATGCACACATGCGTACATGCGATTAGATCCACAATGGATCATGAAGGGTGTTGAAGGGCATGCATTCTCAATTGTGCTGTCTATCGACGGCCAATACCAAGAATGCAACGTACACTTAGGTACCTCGAGGTTAGTAAACGAAAGTATACAACACCCAAAGACTTTTAACTAAGTGGAATACAGTGGAGATGTCAGCTCTGAAATGCTATGTCTTCTGCCTTACGACGAGGTCAGGCACTTCTGCCTTTGTCTCGAGATAGATGCTGCCGACCGTCTTCTTTGGGATGACAACACTGATCCTATGGACTTGCAAATGTTGGAAGCCATTGACTCTCATTCCGTACCCTACAGGCTCTTCTCCATTCGCGAATTACTTGACTGTGTAAAGTTGTCGCCATGGGCAAAGAGATACATCCAGATTATCTTAGCAAGGTCGATTTTGCCCCTACTTCAAGGTCGGTGGGTAGAAAGGTCACTGACCACTAACGACGTCTCTATCCTTTGTGCAATGAATGCTGACGTTCCCTACCCACGATTCGACAATCTGTTTATTTCCACCTCGTTTGGTGATCTGTCAGACACCCCGAAGCGGCGACCCTATCATCACCCAGTACCCGTTGTCCAGGCTCTCGGTATCTTGATCGCGGCAATAGAATTGGGAGAGGAGCTCGAAGTCATATGTAGAGAGCAAAAGCTAGATGGCAAGGTGCCGAAGCGCGATGGTGAAGTGCTTTTCAACGAATGCAGCAAGCGATCGCTTGACACGACCGGGGTTCTCCACTCCATTCGTTTCTGTAACGACTTCCGGTCGTTCTCAGATTATCGTGAGTTGCTTAAAGTGGGTATCCCCCAGCACGACCCCGAATTTGCGAAGCACTACTACACCAATATCATCCGGCCCCTCGAAAAAGACCTGGTCGACGGTTGCAGATGGTCATGGGAAGAAGCAACTTGGAGGACGCCACGGCAACTAGAGAAGGCAATAGTGAAAGTGATTGGCAAATATATCCATGAGAAGCAGCGAACGCGTCATGACGAAGCCGTCTTTGTTGGAAGGAAGTTTAATCTAGACTCAATCGCCGAAGAGCTCTCACACATGGATATACCAGCTACATATCAACCATCTGTCTCATGTGGGACTCCCATACTCAGTTCTGACGCTCGAACAGGGGTCGTTTCCGCAGCCGAGTAAGTGCTATTTCTCGGCTGTTAACCAAATAAGACTGACTATGATCTACTAGAGTAACCCGGACCGACGCGTGGTTCAAGAAGATATCTGATTGCCATACGATGTTACACCGAGATCTCAAATGGCCTCTCAAGTTGAAAAGACTTGTTAAAGTAGCAATACTCGACACTGGAGTTAACCTGGATCATCATGTATTCAGTGAGCATCTGGAAAGTGGCCAGATGCATGCAGGGCTCGATCTGATAGATCGTGGCCAGCGAGTCACCGACACAGATGGTCATGGTACCCATGTGTGTCACACGTTGCTAATGACGGCACCACATGCGAGGGTCTTTCCGATCCGTGTCTTCAAAGGAAGAGAGGCGGATGAATCGTCGCATTTACGCGTTGCTGAGGTATTTTCTCACTGTTCAAGAAATCAAAGTACGATGCTCACTTACTCTTAGGCTATCAAGCATGCGATCTGCGAATGGGATGTTGACATCATCTCCATGTCTCTTGGGTTTGATCGAGAGCATCAAGCCATCAAAACGGCCATGGAATTACAATATACGATCAGAAATGGGTGCCGTAAGCGGGTACTCATGTTCGCTGCCGCATGTAACAACAGAGCACTCGAGGACCAGCCCATTGGCTATCCAGCTCGGGAGAGTAGCCAAGTCATTTGTGTTTTCTCATCCCGGAATGATGGCCGTCGCTCCAACTTTAGTCCCAAAGGCCGCAGATACCAGCCGAACATCAGCGTGATCGGCGAAGACGTGTCAGCAGCCTGGCCGCCTGCTCACTTCCAAACCATGAGCGGTACATCATGCGCAACGCCAATTGTAGCGGGTATCGCAGCGTTACTGTTGGAACTTTCTTTGAAGGAACTTGACATTACAGCAGATGTACTTGTCGATTGGAAAAGAGAGAAAGATAAGCTGAGGGAGAGCTCACATATGCAAATCGTTCTTAGGGAATGCATGAGTGATGAGAAAAGAATGGATGGGGTATACAACTTCTTGAAGCCATGGAAGCTATTCAAACAGCAGGACGTCTTTATAGTCTCGGATGTCATTCGCGCATTAAAGCTAGATGTTTGACAATGCAATTGATCACTGAGCACAGACAGGAGCAGCTCTGAGGCAAGGGGTGATTATAAGGTCATACTTTGATGATGACCACGGCCCACACCGAAAGTCCACGGATGCTATCGTTAAACTAGTCACCTGAGAACACTGACTTCTCCTAAAGCCTAAGAACCGAAATATAAACGAGGAGCAAAGGTAAGTCCATCGCCCGTCTGTATTCAACAAAATCAGTCCTCCTCGTCATCGCCTTTGCATACATAAGTTTCCAACCCATCCCGGCCTGTCACCTCGATTGGCTCGAAGTCGTCTTCCTCGTCGGAAAAGTCAATTTCTCCAATTCCGGTCCCAAAGACCTCAAAGTCGTTGATCTCAACCTCAGGTGCGCGAGCTACTGCCGATTTCTCCGCTGATGCTACCTCGCCCTCGGCATAGGGCTTGTGTGTCACTACGCCTCGATATCGAACTTCGTTGAGGCGATACGCAAAGACAAAGTCCGTCGCTCTTTCGAACCCTTCTGACTCCGAGGAATGCGTTGCGATGCCCGCGCGGGTCCCAGCGGAGGCCAACTGATCTGGTGCAGCGCCCTCGGCTACTACCTTGTTGTTCGTCGATGAAATGTCTGTTTTCACCATGCGCGCACCGTTCACGATTCGTACGCCTGTCACCATGTAGACACGACGTTTGAAAGGGTGCTTCCAGTTCTTCAGGCCTAACTCCACATCCCCATGACGCATAGCGTCCTGAACGTATGCTAGCGAAGGAGACATAATCTGACTCTCGAGCTTGTCGAAGTGCCATTGTAGATCGTGCGAGTGCGTCGTGGCAGAGGCTGCTTTAAACTGCATCGGTACGTAGCCTAGATTTGCCCAAGCACTGAACTGAGCCGATAGCTCGTTTGTGTCGTGCATGCTCACATTGGTGCGGCTAGTGATCTCAGGCTCGATACCTTCGTGCAAGGGAAGCGGGCCGAGGGGCTGGAGGACGTAGGCGGGGTCTTTTGGCTTAGCGAGGATTTGGCCTAGTCGAAGGTTGCCGTTCGGAGAGAACTCGCAGGATTTTGTCAAAATCCATCGATTGTACGTGCGCGTCATAGTAGGATGATGAGGAGTCGATGAGATGTGATGGTCTATCGGAGAACCGTCGTTGGGCGGAGGGTTATTTATGAGGGGTATGACTGTCTGATGGAGGGCGCAGCTGAACAGTTGCATGCAGCAGTGCGGCTGAGCCATTGCCGGTCAGTCTAGATCCGAATTGAACAAGTGGATGGTAGCTTCCTTAAATATCGTTGCGTCTATTGGTATATTTACTATTTCTTCACGTAAATGCGTCATGCCGAAATGGAAAGCGTACATACTCAGGCGCCAAATAACTCCACGACCGCTAAGAGCCCTCATAAGGTGAGCAAGTACAATCATATCACTCACTTCCAAGACTACTGTACGCTGCACATAGCTGTAGGCAATACGCAGCAGCGTTACCCAGACTAGAGCTCAGTCCATGCCAACGTATTTGAACCATAACGGCCGACAATCCTCCCGGTTCAGCCACTTCTCGCCGTCTGTGAACTGACCAGTGACGCAACCCGAACACTTTGGACTGTTCGGGCAGTTGAAAAAGGGTATGTGTTGGTATCCGATGTCTCGGAACCAGTGTATCTTGCTCTTGTCCTCGAAGAGTCCCAGTGCGACGCTGTGTACTGGAGCGTCGCCCCAACGTTCGTAGAAGAAGCCTCCAGCGCGATCGAGATGGTCGAAATAGTCACGGTACTTTTTGCTCCTCCAAAAGCTCAGGTCGCCGATCTCGAAATTAGACCAGAAGTGGCATGTTGAGTAGCCATGGGCTTTCTTGTTGTTTTCAGGCCGGCGCTGGTCGTCTTCAAGCCACTCTCGCGCATTGTTTGGATGTACGTATCCCGGATTGTCTTGGATGAACTTCTTCGTTTCTGGCCACAACGTCGCAACGCTGTCGGCGTTATCGTAGATGTTGACGTTGAAGCCGTACGTCTTGTTGTGGTCTTGCATCCAAGCAAAGACATCGTAATCGACATCGCAGAAGAAGTGGACGTTTGGTTCCACCCGCCAGTAGTATTGGATGTCCTTGAGCGCAGGGTGCTCGCTGAACATGCCGCTGTTCCACCGACACATCTGGTGATAAGACTTCTTGCCCATGTACTGTACATCCAGCGACGTGAGTAGCGACACAGACTCCTCGTACAGGTCCATGTTTATCCACGACGGGATGTCCCAGTGTTCTGCAGGGACCAGTTCGTATCGTACTTCGGCGTTGGTAGCTGCTCGCGTGGCCTTTTTGAACTCTTCGGTAAAGGGCTTATCGTTGAAGAAGGTCCAGGGATAGTTGAACTTGTGGTTCCACGTACGCTCAAGGTCGCGCATGCTTTGCAGCATGTCGTGGAGTTCCTCATTGCGGACTAGACTGAGGATCGTGGCGTTGATGCGCGCGCTCGCGGGATTGTTCGGGGCGTAGTTGTCACCGTCGACACGTCGCAGCGGCTCGGGAGGTTCGCCGGAGGCTGATCACATGATTAGCATCTATAATGAGTTCATAGCATATCCCAGGCTGCCTTACGATCCAATTGGGGGTCGTGGTCCCAGTCGCCGAATTTGTTGGTCGGAACTTTGCTCGGAATCTCGACGGGTTTCTCGGAACCAGGGGCCTTGAGGATTTGCACAAACAGATAGACGAAGATGCAGAAAGTGGCGCCAGCCAAGTAGCGCATGCCCTTGGGAAGCGCCATGATAAAGAGCAGTTGCAGTTGCGGTGGCCGAGGGTTGGGACACAGTCCCGCCTCAGAAAAGTCGCAGGAGCGCTCAACCTCGAGTTTCACAGCCGGCGGTGACGCGGTGCGTGATCACGCTAGCCTGCATCGGGCATGATGTCTCTGTCAAGTGGAGCCGAATCAACCGCCGCAAGTCACCACAACGATATCACTACTACCGGGATCTTATTTCCGCTGGCGTCATCTCGCGACGGCAGGTGGAGGACGCGTTACTATGGCCCAAAACGCGAAAATCTCCGGACTTACGGACGAGCTGATACAGTCCATACTGAGACACGATCCCGCAGCAAACAAACAGGCCTACAGGCACGCCAGGGAGATTGCATCGCGCAACCTTCGAGGGCACCAGTATGCAAGAACGAATCAATTCGACGTTACGGCGAGCTTTGCCGGACTGGATGAGAAGTTTCGCATCAAGAACCGCGATGACCTTGCTGATGCGCTCCAAACACGGCTTCAAAAGTTGGAGGCCTACACGAACAAATTTAAGCCAGAGTTCCTATCTCTTTTACTCCAACTAGCCGATCGGCCTCTTGAGAACACCCAGGTCGAAGCCTTAGAGCTGCTTAGACCCCCTAGCCCTCCGCCGCCACTCACTTGGGCGGAGATCCTTGAAGACGACCCCTACAGCGATGAGGATATCTGGAAGGACATCGACTATGCCGTGGACTCTTCGGGCGACGAGAAAACGCCCAAAAAGCGCAGGAAGGCTCCAAGCACACCACCGACCAATTTCGACGCAGATGATACTTTCGATCCCGAAGCCTGTATCTCATCTACAGAGGAGAATCTTGTTACCAAGCTGGAAGACGCGCAATTTTGGACCTCGCGCGCGGATCGCAGTAGCACTGGCGTGAACATAACAGAGCTGCAGGCTGTGCGAGAAACGCTATTCATGCTTGGTGGGCTGAAGACGAGCTTGTACCGGATCGAAAAGGACAGCATTATCCCCAATGAGACATATACTGTTGACAACAATCAATCAACCGCTATCACACATCTCCTTTCTCAATTCGCCGACACTGGAACACGTATAGAGGCGATAAGACGCTGGACGCTGCAACAACGAGCCAAGAAGCCACCGTCATCACCTCTTGTCCAGACCTTCGAGGCCGTTGTACGGAAGCGACTACTTGACTTCGACCACTCCTTATCCGCGATGCAGCAGAGATATCTCATTCCTGATACGCCACTTCCCGTCAGTTTGTTGCCATTGCACGGCGATGTGCGGGCACTATGTCACCCTATCTTACGTCTGGCGCCGATTGTTGATGATCTGAGTCGATCAACGGCAACTCAAGATCCGTCGATACCTGCAAATCCCTTTTACCCCCTGGAAGCATTGTACGAGCAGACCACGCTAGCGCAGATGACACTGGAAGACGAAATCTTTACATACACGTCGAAGATGTTCTTTGAGTGCTTACAGACATATTTAAAGCCAATACGACGATGGATGGAAACCGGCGAGCTTGGTCCCGACGAGGAGAACTTCTTTGTCATCTCGAGCGATGCACTGAGTGAAGCCGCTTCCCTTTGGCATGACCGCTTCATGCTCCGCCGTAATTCTGAGGAACACATGCAGCTACCTGCGTTTCTACAGCCAGCGGTCAAGAAGATATTCAATACAGGCAAAAGCATTATTTTCTTGAAAGAACTGGGCATTTACGATACAGGTTTACATTCCTCACTGGCAGAGCCGCGCCTCGACCATGAAACAGTATGCGATACGTCATCCGACGTACCCCTCTCGCCTTTCCCAGAACTGTTCCAGACAGCCTTCGAGACATGGATACGTAGCAAGTACTCAGTCGCCTCAAATGTTCTTCGTCAACACATATTCGAGACTGATGGCTTGATGCGTGTGCTACATACATTCGAAACCCTTTACTTAGGCAAGAACGGCGCCGTGTTCGAGGACTTTTCCACTGCAATTTTTGAGCGCATGGATGCCGGCAGACGTGGTTGGAACGATCGATACGTCCTCACAGAGCTTGCACGGGGCGTTTTCGGTACGATCCTCTCTGGCCCCGACACGGAGAAACTTGTCGTTCGTTCTATGAAAACGAAGGCGCAAGGAAGCTCGGTCAAGGGTCTAGCCGCCGTTTCCGTGGATTATGCGGTATGTATCGGAAGAATGCTCTCATGTGCCCCAGCTAAAGATCTTTTGAGGTACCTTGGTCGATTCAAAACATTATCCAACGCTCGTCCATACCCATCTACCAGGAGATCTGTACATTCCTGATGCAGATATACCGAGTCAAATACCAACTGCAACGCGCGCGCATCCGCGCATCCAGAAAGAATCGTCAACCGATGTTCTACAGACTTCTGCAACGCTTGAACTGGTTCGCCGATGTCCTCCGTTCTTATGTCACCGAGACTGCCGTCTTCCTGACCATACGAGACATGAATTCGGCAATGGAAAAAGCCGATGATATCGACGAGATGTCCCAGATTCACATCAAGTGTATGGAAAGATTGTACCAGCGAGCGCTCTTGTCGAAGGAAGTGAAGCCAATCCATAAAGCGATCATCGAACTACTGGATCTTGGTGTGTTACTTTCGCAGGCCGAGGGTAAGAGCCATGAGCATGTAGATCAGGAGTTCGAAAGACTTCTCCCTTTCGTGGCAGCGGGTCTGCGAAGCACGGCGAGGGTTGGGGAACCCATGTGGGAGCAACTAGCAGATCGACTGGAGGTATTCTCAAATGTCTCCAAGCCCTAGTTCCAGTCTGCTTTATTGTAGCCCTGAAGATAGTTCAGAAACTGCAGCGCTGCATCTTCTCCCAAGCACCCATATGGAAATGTGCATGTGCACTATCTGTACTTCTCATACACAATCTGTTGACGTCGTCCATGGGCGCTCTTCTTTCTCTCCTCCGCTCAATGCTCTCGTTGGTGGTCATCGACTGCGCGCAGCGGAAACCCAACAAGCCAGAAATACCACCTGCTTTCGGAGAGGAGAGTGATTGGATGGATTCAGTGATCGTTTTGAGCTTCGGATGTTTCGATCTCGTCACTACTCGACGAAGGCTCTCTCTGCTTTTCCCTTTTTCGCGGTATATCGTCCGGATGGGGATTACCCTCGTGGTGCCCGTCGCCTCGTGCTCGGCTCCACAATATCATGAAGAAGAGAAAACCGAGAAGCACAGCGATGATCGTAGGTGCTGCGGGATGGCGCATTATTGTGATAGGTATCGCCTTTGCTTGTTCGCGGATGCCGTGGTAAAATGCTAGACGGTCTATCGTTTCAATCACCTTTCGCGACTCTGGGTCTTCCAGTTGTGCCGTC